ACCTGCTTTCCACCGTGTTAAAGAGAAGCGTGCGAAAAATTCGTCTGACCGCGCGCACGATTCTTTGAGCTTTCGACTTGAAGTCATGTTTTATGCAAACCGACCTTGGTTTATTTTCACTTCTCGTTGCAGAATGGTGATAATTGATGATGGTGATATTGGTGGTCGAGGAGGTGATGGTGATGATGATGACCTGGAAGACAAGTAAGATAAAAACCACTTTCGTGCTCGTAATTTTATGTGTTTTTATTTGAATAGGCGAAATACTGCACAACGAATCACGTTGAGCGAGGTCCAAAATTCGTGCTAATTGAAACGCGTTGCTATTGGTCAAAATGTCGATTGCTTATTGGTAGGCAGCGATGATTGGCTGTTGATTGTGTGCGCTATCTCGCTGTTCTCGAGCTGTGGTTGGACGAACTCTCGCAAACGTCTTCTCCACTCGAGGTGTCTTAGTTACCGTAAAACCACAATCAACACGGACACTTTAGACAAAGACAAACTTGATTTCTTGTCTATCGCATGAGCCAAAGCTTGTAATCAATTGAATAATCACTTTTTGCTTGCAGAACACAGGTCTCATACGCGAATTTGGACGACTTTCGTTCAAGTAGCACGTAAGCTCGACATGTTAATCTTGCTTTGTTTTAATTAGTTGAATCCGCTTTCCACACAGATCTGCATCTTCTGCAACCCTCAACCAATTCGACCAATCATTTTCCTTTGTTTTTATGACTTAATTTTGATTAAGTAATTTGCAATTGAATGCATTAAGATCGTTACCGGTTTAAATGCACATATTTTGATTCCTACAAGCTCAAATTTAATCCAAATCGATTGTAACCAAAGTTAAATTCACCACAAAACAGATTTGCTGGGTTTTGTTCAATATTTATCTGGTTTTGTAGAGTAATACTCGATGAGGTGGATCAGGAGGGGGATGATAAGTGAGTTGAAAGAATGGCGCATTAGTCCAAACCAGGTCGCATTCAGACTCGTTTTTCATTGGCTAACTGTGTTGACACATGCATAGATCTAGGCTAACAACCATTGGTCATTGTTGCGGTAAGTGGTGTTTACGTGCCATTTAAGCACGAGGAAGGCAAAATAGCAGCTAAACAAGCAAAAATGAGCTAAGGCTATCATTGGTCAACACGCTAATCGTTCATTGGTTGGCAGTGATGATTGGATGCTGCATTCAAAGCGTCAAAACGATGGCATTAGAGGTAATAAGCTCGTTTTTAAAGTTGACAGTCGTGATTTTTCAAAAAAATATATTTCTTTCCCAGATTTTGATTTTATTTTAATTAACTTGTAGTCGAGCTGCCATCAAGCGAGTCCGGTTTGCAAACTGGTAAATTTTTTGAGCTTTCCGCAGTTTACTAAATTTGATATTTTACTTCAAGTTTAAGTGATGACTTTAAAAAACAATTGAGATTTCATAGGTTATTTTTAATTGGTGTAGGCCCGTCGTAACCTCAGATGAGCCAATCCCGAATCAGTAAGTATACAACATAAGTATTTAATGTTATTCAGATTTGTTTTGTGCTGTATTGATTAGAATCGGTGAACCGACTTACCTGTCGCCTGATACTCCTCGTAAATGCAAACAAATTGTGCTCCTAAGTCAGCTAAATCCGCATTCAGGGTAGTTATTAAAAGAGTTCTGAAAAATTAACAGTACATCTTTATGTGCCTATAATAAACTACTTATATTTAATAAGCAAACACCTTAGAGGTGAAGCTGGTTCGAACAATCGCAAGTGGCTCTAACTAGGACTCGAATCAGTGGCTTGTCAAAATCTCCGGACAAAGGCAAACGCGCATTCACAAAAATTATCCGTGAATGGCAGTGTTTTCATGTCCATTTTATTTCTTAAATTGTTTAGGCACACAGCAAAGAATGCTTCGCTGGAAGATCCGTAAGTCGATTAGTCAATCATATCGTGGATTGCACTATAGATAACGCCGTTTGCATGCAGTCAAAAGATGACACAACACAGAAAGTGCCTGCGTCAAAAAGACTCACCTTAAGAAATTGGAGAATTTTAATCAAGGTTTATTGGCGACTTGTCTTCGAAATTTCGCCTTACCACCGAAAATCAACACAATACAAATTTTGTCCATCTAACACCTATTGCGGTGACTTGAGGTCTATTCCACTGTAGGTACCCAATTATGGAACCGGAAGACCGCATAAGGTGAGGCTATTCAGGATGGTTCGTCAAGTATGGCTCTACTTATTTCTATCAGTAGTATAATATGATTCTGTGGAAAAATTCACTGTTACATCTGCCCACCGAGCACATTAGATTTGCTGTAGTTAATTCAAAATCATTCTTTTGGTTAATGAAAGTAACATCGAATAATCTGATTGGACAGGCACATCAATTCAAACACTCACTAAAGTTGATTTACAAAAATCGATAATTAACACCACGAGTCACTAACTTTTAGCCAGTGAGGATAACGTTAATGCTGCGTATGAACATCGATCGGCCGAGCGTGCAAATAATTTAAGATTCTGTTCGAAAAATGACAGCTAGCAAATCATCTGCTCACTTTTAATGCGAAATTATTGCATCACCAATGGCGCTAGCATCTCAGTCTTTTTGTGTCAATTTGCAGACTGTCAGAAAAGAGGCGGAATCTGGCCAACCAGTGAGATGTGGTTTTTTAAATGTCGCATCATATATATTTATCATTAATTTTTTGCAAAACCATAATTTAAACAAAAGCTTGCTTTTGCAAACTCTGCTTATATTTCCATTTTGCGTATAGCAATGTTTGCTACGAAATTCAGGAGCTATTAAATCCCTGGTGACCGCCATTTTGAGTACATTTTTGCATTTCTTCTCTATTTTTTCCAAATGATTGCTATAAAACACGAGCCAATCAGAACACTGGATTGCGTTTTAGAACTTGGAAGGCTTTTGACAATGACGCGTTTGCCGACGAGACTATGCCGTAAGTTACAATCATATTATCGCACAACCCCTGACCTGTGTTACAAATGGTCGCGGGTATTTAAATCATTTAAGTAGATAAATAATTTTGCTTTTTATTGTCCCGGAGTTTGAATTAAAAGTGGATATCACGAGTAATCGAGGTTCGTGTAGATGAACTTCTGGCTATCGATAGGCAAAATCTAGACAGTTTGCTCTTTCAAACAGTACGTCAAGAACATTTATGTGCGGTTAAAAAGGTATTTTACTAACTTGCGTTTTTAAACGAAGCTTGTGCTTTTTAATGTTTTTTTTTCACTTGCTACAAAATTATTTTATAACACACCAAAGCGGCATTCATTTGATCCCGTTTAATCGCTAGTTCATTTTACCCCGATCAAAAAAACAAACTAATCGGAGTAATGGTTGAGGTCAAAATTGAGCTCACTAAACTGTAATCTCGATTGTCGACAAGAAAATACAAACCCGTATCCTTTCATTTCAGGTACCCAACAAACAATGCAACAGTGTCGACTGAAACATAACTTACCAAAGACATAATCTTTGTCCAGTTAGGTCATGACTATTGCAAACATTGCGCCATCACAGCCTCTGTGATTTAATAGTGTATCCTAATTATATGCTTAAAAGACATGCATTCTTAAACCACGCAGGAATTGCACATTAATAATAAGTCGTGCGTTTCTAACATCACGTGATTGTGAAAGATATCAAAACGTTAAAACAAAGACAGTCTAAGAGAGATACTGCATCAGGCCACTATCAAACACTAATGCCTTTAAGATAACCTTATGACATTCGACTAATGTCGCTTACCCATTGCATTTAATCGTTTTTAAACATCAGGCAGCATTTAACGAACGAATTCGGAAAAATCTACATTGTATAATAATCTCGTTTTGGATATCAAATCAATTTTCTAAGTGGTATTTTAGGAATTCAAAATAAGGTAAATTAGGTGAATGGTTACTGTGCGCATGTTAATAGATTTGCTTGACTTCGAAATCAATTAGGCGGAATGCATTAAGCGGAAGGTTCAAGTGAAATTCAATTTTCCAACAGATTTGTCCGTCGCATTCTTCAAAAAAAATAATTGTAGAGAAATTCTACAGTTCACAGAAACAGATGGCTTCTTTGCAGAAGTAGATAAAAATCCTAGCTGTCAAATTTTTTGAGGTTGAATTTTGGAAGAATCCTCAGAGTGGCTGGCCATGTCTACATGGTTCAACATTTCGATTTGTGATATGTATTATCAAAAAAAAATAAATGTAAAAAAAGATGGAAAATGGCTTGAAAGCACTGAAAAGAATTCATTCACCACTGAGGAAAAAACATAGTAAAGTGAAACTAAAATTAGCAGCTCTGCAATATATAAAAAGGTTACACTTTACGAACCGTGATTATAGCAATTTAATATTTAAGATAATCGCAAAAGTCACAAATTAATTAGCGGGTAAATACACATTAAACGCGACTTTATATCTGCTGATGCAGGAGATTCTTCAGGCTTAAAAACAATTAAATCAAATTAATAATGATGCAAGATAAGAGATACAAATCTAAATCGCTATTTTTGTTGCGACTAACTACGATTAAAAGCAGCGATTAACCAACCAGGCATAAATTGGCAAACAAATACACACATAGATGCAAAAGCCTTTGTTAGCTATCATGCTAAAATAGGTGGTAATGGTTGCAAAAATTAATATTTAAATTAAGTACTGTGTTACAATTGAAGCGAGAATACTTAAAATAGAGAAACTAGCACGGTAATTATCACTAATTGCAAATATATTATTTTTCAGATTTGTGTAAAAGCAATTTTATATTTGCAATTTAAAATTATATTAAAAATATTGCTGAATTTATTACAGCAACAAAATATAAAAATGCAATTATTTTTAAACATATTTATATCAAATCTTACTTTTTAATGCAAGGGTTGCACATTCCTTTTTTGTTGTTTAGAACAATCGGTTACTTTGACCTTATTGTTGAACTAATTTGATTAGTTCTAAAGTTTCAGCCGCAGCAATGCGGTGCGCTGTCCTCCTGCAGCTAGCAGCTACATTTTTTCTATTTTCCAGTATCTACGCTCAGCAAAATGGTTATTAGTTTTATATACATAATTAGCTTTTTAGACTTTGCCGAAGATATTGATTACTTGGATATGGATCCGGATTCTCTGCTTGCAGAGCATTCGGTGATAGTAGCGAATGCCACTTGTGGAGAACGGCGGCGGGAATACTACTGCCGCTTGGTTGAACATGCTGGATACGACTTTGCGTAGGTTTTATGATCAAAACGTGATTCTTATCTTTATGTCCGTTTTTATCACAGGCAATACTTCCTTTTGAGACATGCATATAACAGCACACACTTTATAACTTCATTGTGTATTGTTGTTATAGATTCAACAAAAAACTATGTCGTTTTTTCCTAAAGTGTATTAATCTAGATAGAGGTAGGGTTATTCGTTTCATTAGTTTAAACTTAAACCTTTTTACTGTCGGTTATGCGAACTGAATTCTGCATTAAAACTGCAACATTACAAAATTGTCAAAGTTAAACTATGCACTCCATGTTTAACGTGATCAACGGTTATCTAAATAAGTTTTTCTCATCTGTAGTGTTAAGTGGTTGATAATGGTAGGCTCTATCTTTTTCCAGTAGTTTCAAACGAACCAAGCGTCAGGCTTACGACTATCCACAGGATGGGCGAACATACAAAGACATCGATGGCACTGTGGTTGAGTGCAACTACTGTGATGCCCAGGATCCCAGCCTTCGCCACCCTATTGAATACGTGGTAACCGGAGATTCAAATTTGTGGTGGCAAAGTCCATCTCTGGCGGAGGGTCTCCAGTACCATGCAGTGACTATTGACATCGATTTGAAGCAGGTAAACATGGTTTAAACAGCCACGTTAACTTGAAAATGTGCGTTAGTTCATGCACTCAAGAATTATTATTAAAAAAGCTTCTAAAGACACAATTTGACGTCTAAATTTGGAAGTTGAATCTTGTCTCTCGATGACACAGTTTAATGCCACATATTTCTGGTATTCATTTACTTTGGATGCATAAAATGTTGCGTTTGACATATTTAAGTGCTTTGATTGGTCATTATTTCATTGCCATCTGTCATTCTAAGGTGTACCAAATAGTTTTTGTCCTCCTTCGAATGGGCGACTCGCCTCGGCCAGCAAATTGGATTCTCGAGAAGTCAATCGACGGCCAGGTGTTCCATCCCTGGGTATTCTTCGCAGAAAACGCCCACCAATGCCGAACTCAGTATCAGCCAATGGTGAACAGCACAATACGCATAACCAGCGACTCAAGGCCTCACAAACTCGGTAACACAGAGGTACTGGGTGTGGTATCATCTGCTTGAGACCCGCTAAAATGACGCCTGTATTTGATGTTTTTTTCGCGTGTTTTCTAGGTTTACTGCACAACCTACTTCAGTCAGCCTCAAAACCTGCAAGCTGGTGAAATTATTATCCCTCTCACGGTCGATCGAGAGGGTGCTTCGACGTCACACTTTGAATCCAACAAACCCATCGACCCTGAGCTAATTGCAAGTGTCATTAGTTTCACCTCGTTGTTTAAACAGCCCTGCAATACAATTAACTCTTTTGTCTGTCTGTAGGAGTTTCTTTCGGCGCGGTTTGTGCGTTTGCGATTCCAGAAGCTGCAAACTCTCTCTGGTGATTGGATGACTCTGCCTGACCAACTCGACCCAAGTGTATACAACAGGGTCAGTCATTGTGTGCATGATTACTAGTCTTATTAGCAAACAACTGTTAAATTACCGCTTTCTTCCTTTGTAAATAGCAGCCATGTAAGCGGCATTTGCTGTTACGCCAGCCCGCAAAGTGTTGCGAAGTGTAAAACTAAGTGTTTTTCGATCAGCACTGATTTGTTGTAATACAAGTGGAGCATTTTATGCTTTACCGCCCCGTTAAATTACAACAGGCGCAACGTTTTAGCTGATAATCCATTGTAAGTAGTATTTTTCTAAACAGAATAACACCTCAGGAGTGGTAAATACTAATCTATCACTGCATACTGCGTAACTTAACGACAGCTCATTGGCTGCTCACGCTGTATGGTTGCATTATCAAATGTTATCTTTTGCACTCCCGGTTTCAGTACTACTATTCGATTCGCAACATTAAAATCGGCGGCAAATGCGTGTGCAACAGTCATGCGAACACATGCGGCCGACAGATTATCGACGTAAGTTCAAGCCACCGTATTTATTTTTAACCGCAAGTGAAAATACTACTTAAATGCCAACTTTCTGTGGACTGTAGGGCGTGCCTCGGGCCGTGTGTGACTGTCAGCACAACACGTGTGGCTACACATGCGAAAAGTGCTGTCCCCTCTTCAATCAACAACCCTGGCGACCGGGCGCTGTCTGCGAGGGTAATGCCGCACGCCGTAACTTTCGCTGTCGCCATAGCGACGGTGTACCGCCATTCCGGGTTTCATAATAGTCTCCTGATTTTCCGTGTTTTTCTCCACGCAGAATGCAATTGTCACGGCAAGGCTGACTCCTGTGTCTACAACCAGACCGTAGCCAACCTCCAACTCAGTCTCAATCGGTACAATATTCGTGAGGGCGGCGGCGTCTGCGTTGACTGCAGGGTAAGTTGTCGGGCGGGGGGAGGGGTGGGTGACTCTGGGCACTAACATCACCGCCTCTCTTTTCAGGAACAAACAACAGGTGTTAACTGTGAGGACTGCCTTCCTGGTTACTATCGTCCGCTGAACGTCGGACCTGATGCCAAAGACCCCTGCGTGCCCTGCAACTGCAACATCCACGGATCTACCGGAGTATGTGTCTCAAACGACGCCTTAATGCCAGAAAAGGTAGGCTTTTGTAGTGATTCTCTATGTGGAAGAACCATCGCCATGTTTTTTCATTGAGTCGGTAGATGTAGGCGAATCTCAACAGGGGTAACCCCCTGAACTGCGTCAGTTCCTGGCCTAGAACACCTGTTAACTATCCCTAAAGGTCCGGTGTGGCAAAGAGGTACCCAATTATGAGATTTCGAGGAACCGAACGAAGCCAAGTTTAAGTGCGTGTGTGTACACAAACCACGGAACACCTGACCCCCGCTAAGTTCACACGAGGACCGTCGTCGTCATCGTCTTGGTTGCATACACAACCGCGGCCACCACACACACACACACACGGCCGGGTCACATCGGGCTGAGTGCCAACGCGTTGTCGTTGTTTACGCTGACCGCCAACGGTTTCTCGGCCAAACGTCTAAACAAACGCTTTGCGTGCTCGGGCGCGTGCGTGCCTGTGTGTTTCGGCAAAGATGCGCGCCCAATTTCACACCAACGCCGCACACACTCACATGCACAAACACACACAAGCACTCCACACAATCGATAGAGGAGATGTCACTCGTCAAATACTTGATAATTAGTTGATCACGTTATTGCCGGCATTGTGTCTGCTCCGTGTTCAGTACATATGAGTTACTTCCTCCTGATTTTGTTTAAGTGTGGTGCCAAGGTCCAAGAACTCGCGCCACAATGAGCTCCGAAATTCCTCCAATCAGAATTCGCGAATATGTCGATTTTTAGTTTAGGCGATTTTCACATCCCCGGGGCCGAGATTTGCATGAATTTATCAGTGTTATGGCTCTGGGCATAAGATATTACTAATCAAGGCATTTCCGATTTCAGCAACCTGGAGATTGCATCTGTAAGGAGGGCTACGCAGGACGGGATTGCGATCGCTGCGCGGAGGGCTACTATGAATCACCCAACAACCCGCGTGAATGCATCAAGTGTCCATGCGACATCGCGGGCTCGCATAGGGGACAAGGCTATCGCTGCCAACCTCCCTGCAACTGCAAAGTACGTTTTACTGACAGCAATTAAGTAGACGGTTTAATTCCAGTTTTTAAATGCATTGCTTTGTTGTCGTCGCAGGCTAACGTGGATCCTGATTCGCTGTGCAGGGCCTGCAAGCCTGAACACTTCAATTTGGCCGAAGATGATCCGGAAGGATGTCAACCCTGTTTCTGCATGGGACTAAGCAAGGAGTGTCAAAGTGTCTCCGTGGCCACAGCAAGAGTAAGTCGCCTCTACACTAACATGCCAATCAGATTTTTGCTATAAAATGATTGGTTCCTGTCAGCTTAGATTGCAGCTATGATTGACACAAATTCCTCATTTTCCTTTCAGCGCTTGGAATATGAAGGGAAACTTGGCACTGTAAGTTAACTGCTAAAACTATGTAATTTCATATTATTCGGCACTCATTGCAATTCGATTGTCAGCAATAATTTCTCTGGAGCAATCAATTCACTTTGAAATATTCTGAATATTGTCTCGCTAAGGCCTCTTCCTGACCACCAATCGGCAATTGTTGACATGCTGGCAGTAACTCGAATGCCTGTTTTCTGATTGGTCAAGTCCTCCTGCAGTGTCTGATTGGCCATCATGGAGTGACCAATCAAGTGAGGCTGGGTCTCCACCCAATCAGCAAGGGACAAGATTTGACTAAGCAGTTTCCAGTGGTGAATGTAATCGAAGGCCTACATTTTGAATTTAGGTGGATACCATTGAAGGCTGGACGCTGGTTGTGCCGTCGTCCACACGCATCCTCGCGGTTCCACCGAGCACCTTCGCCTCCACAAACGCCAGCTCCAGCGCTCAGAAGCTTCGCGTAACCACTGACGACGTGGACTTTGCTCTGGGACCGCCAGCTTCTGTCCGCGGCCAGTCCTATTATTGGTCGGCGCCGGAGAAGTACCTCGGCAAGCAGCTAACCGCTTACCGAGGTCAAATGGAAGCCATCACACGCTTCAGCTCGCCCAGTATTCGTCCCGGGATGACTGGAGGCTACTACCAGCCCCACAGCGGACCCTACTACGACAATTACACTCTTGGACGAGTGTGGATCAACGAGCCAGACATTATTCTTGAGGTAAAAGTCATGATTTCCACCGAAATGTGCGTCAAGGAAGGCTGGTTTACATGTAGAAGCAACGTGTGTTCGACTTTAGGGGCATGGAATACGTCTGAGCTACAGCGCTCCGCTGGATAACAAGCAGACCCACCGTGTTCAACGAATTCGACTGCACGAGTCGATGTTCCGGGTGCTTGTGGAGTCAGGCAGCGGTGACCTCGACCGCATCCCAATTCACCAGACACAAGCGGCCTCTTCAGAGGACAGCGCCAGTCGCCAGCCCTACTCTGACCCCAGATATGGCCTTGACAGGTAACCAGTGGTGTTTCGTGGAGGCTGCTCTAATCAACCAATAGCATTGTGCTGATAGTATTCTGACCACCAATCGGTAGTTCTAGCCTCCACCAATGCTCCTGTCTTCTGAATGGTCGTGTTTGTTTTCTAAAATGTGTTCTTGTTGAACATAACGTCTACTGATGAAAATGGAGCTGAGTCTGTCAGTTTCATTTTGAAACACCTTCCAACTCAACTTGTGGCATGGTTTCGAAGCAGTCATCCTTGCTACGAGGAATCGTGATTGTAAAGAATGCCTGGTTTGTGCTGATGAGACTCCAATAATTCCGAGAGAGCTCGTTTTTTTAGAGAAGAAAACTCATACTACTAAAATAAAGACAGTGGTAGTTTTTGCACATCATCTAGTAGGCATACCTCAAAGTGTTGCATTATTTTAGTGAATCAAGGGTGGATTACACTAGAGCCGGTCGTCCAGCAACAATTGTGGACATCATGACTGTCCTGTCCAACGTCTCCAGACTCTACGTCAAAGCGAGGTACACCGATGATCAGGCATACACGGAGTAAGTGCATCCAGATTGTTTATTGGTTACCAAGCAACCAGACTTGAGGCAATGCCCCTTGTCAATCATGCTGGCACCATATTAATTTTGTAAACACATAAAAAAAACATTTTTTTGTAAGAGAGTATTTTTGAGAAATGGGTCATTAAGGACCACCAAAGTGAATATTAGGGTTCACGCCAGGTTCAGAAGTCGATGAAAATGGAGGTACCTGATTGGCCAGTTAAGGAATTTTCCCGTTGGCCACGATTGGTCGTTTTAACTTCCCGCTATTCATTCAAATTGACCAATAGTGGAAGGGCTGTCCTGGTGACCTCTATTTATCGGCACCTTGTCACGCTAAATCAGTCGATGTGCAGTATTTCTGATGACGTGTTATGGTTCAGTTAATCGATAGGCTTGGCAAAATCGTCGAAACCATTCAAAACGTCACCCCTGAATGTCATCCACACTAAAATTTGAAGTGCGTTCGGTATCAAAGGAAGCAGCTGTTAGCATTCTATTGCGGACAAGCTAGTCCGTCACGTTGTTCCACGTCGATTTTACTAAAGACCGTGGATGTCTTTGTGTTTGGCGTCACCTAAATATGTTGAATTCCCTCGGAATTGCAGATTGCGACGTGTGGCTCTGGAACGAGCCGAACGCGGAAAGGTGACCACAGGGATGCCGCAGGGGGTGAGGACCGTGGAGGAATGTCGGTGTCCACCGGGCCACACCGGCACCTCCTGTGAGGAATGCGAGGCCGGTTATTGGCGCGATCCCAGCGTCGCCTCGGCTGGTGGCCAATCAGCTGTGGACACTTTCTTGGGGCTGGTCAACCCCATCTACAAGCGGGTCTGTGTTCCCTGTGATTGCAATGGACGCTCCGACACCTGCGACCCGCATACTGGCCATTGCTTTGTAAGCAGTCTGCACTGTAATTCCAGGGAGGCAACCAATCAGATAACACCATGGCACTCAAGTGCCCATTGGCTCGCCAGCCCACCAATGAGAACCCCCGTTGGGAAAACCTAGTGGTGTGATTGGAGGATATAATCAGTGTGCTTTGGAGTGTTTAAACCGTCTAAATGACCGCGGTTTTTGAGAATTCACAGTTCAGAATTAGAGCTAATCGAATTCTTTTTTTCTTCATTTCCTGGAAAGAACTGCAAATACAATACTTGGGGTGCAAAGTGCGAGGAGTGCTCCCCCGGCTTCCACTTGGATCCAAAGCGATATGGATCCGACATATGTCAGCCCTGCGAATGTCCCTCATTGAACAACCAGAAGACAAATTCCTGCGTCGCTCTCTCGAACAGCAATCTGCATGGATCCACTGCCAACAGCGACAAGCCCTACGCCTGTCTCAACTGTGAAGACAAGTTAGTTCTGTTGTTTGATTTGAGGCGGTTTCTAAAGACGTGATTCATCGCTGGCACACCTCACTATATCGGAAGGATCGGTTTGTCCTGACTCATTTTCAACCATTTTTCTCTCCGACTAGCACACGGGGTCAGTTCTGCGAGGCGTGCGTGGAGATGTACTACGGTAATCCCCTTCTGGGTCAGCCATGTCGCCCCTGTGACTGTGGATCGATGGCTGTTGGGTGCGACACCGTAACCGGAGAGTGCCACTGCGGACACCACACTGCGGGACCGCGGTGCACGGAATGCGAACCAGGAAGCCACGGCGACCCTCTCAGGGGTGAAGCCTGTACCCGTAAGCGCCTCATTTGCACCCCCGAAACTTCAAATAACGCTTTCATACATTTATGGATTCCCTGGCAGGCACTAAAGCTCAACGCATGGATGAAATTGTTGCATTTAAACTTGAATTTTTTTTTAAGCTTGCGGATGTCATCCACGTGGAAGTCGTACACTGGAATGCGATAAGCGGACAGGCCGGTGTCAGTGCAACCTCTTCTACGAGGGCCAACGCTGCGATCGGTGCGTGGTTGGCAGGGGCAACGTCGACGCCGGGTGTCCGCCGTGCAACTGTGATCCACTTGGGTCGATTCCTCAGGCCAACGCCTCGTGCGATCCCGTGACGGGTCAATGTGTTTGCAAGCCGGGTGTGGGAGGGACACTGGAATGCGATCGATGCGCCGACGGCTACTACAATATGGGGATTAACGGGTGCCAGTGTAAGTCCTGCTTATACGCTGAAGTGCTTATAAGTATGTGTGTGATTGGTGTCAAAAACCAAGCCTGATTTCGTTTTTTAATTGGTTAAATTTGATTGGTAAATCTCTCTGCTACAGCTTGTGAGTGCTCCAATCGCGCACTCTCAACCGCCTGCCATCCAACCACTGGCCAGTGTCAATGCGGTGAGCATGTTATTGGTGAGAAATGCGACCGCTGTCGGGTAAGTAACTGTCAGTTAAATTTGAGTTCTGCATATTCACAAAAATTACCGGTAAAACTGTTCTAGACGGGTTATTACTGGAACGGGAGTGAACCTCACTGCCTCCCATGTGACTGTGGTCCCGGTGCCGTCTCAACTGACTGCGATATATACACTGGCCAATGCCTTTGTGCGAGATACGCCATTGGTCGACGTTGTGACCAATGCGAACCCGGTTTCTGGGGCCCTTCGCGTCAGGGCTGCCAGCGTGAGTTACGCTACGGATTGTGATTGGCTGTTAAACTCCGCTGATTGGCCAATCAACGGCACTAAAAGGAAAAGCTTGTTTCGACATATTTTAGGCTGTCCCGAATGCCCCAATGGTCGAGTGTGCGACCAGATTACTGGAAAGTGCATCTGTCCGCCGAATACGGAAGGCGATCGATGCGAGTCTTGTGCCCACAACTCCTACGATTACAATCCTGTGCTCGGTTGCAAGGTACATCTCGAACGCCCATCTAATTATCTCTATTTTACTTCTACTTTTTAAAAATTCAAAATACAGTCAAGGGAGCAAAAACTAACAGTAAAACAAAGAGATTTCTTGTGTGTTTTGTTTAACAGGAGTGCAACTGCTCAGCGATTGGCTCCGTCAATCCACAGGGTGGCTGTGACCTCGTTAGCGGACAGTGCGTCTGCAAGAGCGGCTTTGCTGGACAAGCCTGCGACGAATGTGCCCCCGGCTACTTCGGTTTCCCTGACTGCCAGCCCTGCATGTGCAGTCTGGAGGGGAGTCTGAGGAACTCGACCAATGGGGACCAGATTTCGTGTGATCCAATCACCGGCGCGTGTGTCTGCAAACCGAATGTTGAGGTGAGCCAATCGCACTCTTGTGATATACGCAGCCATCGTCAATAGACAAGCTTCAAAAAGTGCACAACACCCGCTACTTACGACATTTGAGTAGGCAGTATTTTAACATTTTAGGGTGAGCGATGTGATCGTTGTATACCGGGTTCATTCGGCTTGAGTGCAGACTACCCCTTGGGGTGTTACGCCTGCTTCTGCTTCCCAACCACGAAGCAACCCGAGTGCGAACAACTTAAAGGCTACCGGTCCGTCCCTGAAACCCCACACAGACTCCAGGTAATCCCGTTTATCGATTTCCAACACGAAATGGAGATCGAAAGACACTTCAAAACTGTGAACTGACGCTGTTGCGTCTTTATCCACGATTTAGCTTGTTGGAACTGACAACGTCTACATGCCAGGTGGGCCACTGGTGGATCTGCAGGTGTCCGCAGAGGCGACGACAGGATCAAGTGACCTGCCCGATCTCACGATCGGCCAAAGTCAATTCAGATGGCGCTTCTCACAGACTCTCCCCACCTTCCTCATCCTGCCACACCTCAGAGGACCTCACGTAAGTGTTCGAGTTACGCGCAAGCACAAGACAATACCGCGGTTTTTGTAAGAACCAATGAGACAGCAGGGTTCTACACTACAGTTTCAAGGAGCGTGTAGAGGTTGCTTCGGTTATCATAGGCAACAAGAGGCAGCTTGTTGTATTTGAAGGACATTTGGCCAGTATTGATTGGGACGCCTGTGACGTGATCAGAACTCAGAAATTATCGACTGACACCAGGTTTGCAGAAACACCAATTCTGAGGATTACTGTTGGTCCTTCGTTCATCGCATTTAGAGAAATTAAGAATTTCCGCAAATAAGTGAGTAATCTTTGTTGAAGAAGTCTAAACCTCGAGGAATCTCGTGCTTGAATTGTCCGAAATTCTGAATTTCGTTGGTGTCACCTCGAAGGTCAGCACTCAATGTTGACCTGTTGGCAACTATTCCACTAAGACATCCGTGGAACACACAAACAGTCTAGAGGTTCAAGAGAACGTGGAATAGGTGGTTCCAAGCATAACTGTCCACGTTTCTCACCACACAGACACGCAGCTACGGCTCGATTCTCGTGGAGGTGCACTCCGACTGCTTGCCGACTGGAAAGTGCGGCTTCGAGAGCTGGGAGAGCTCCACGGACCTGGTGGCTCGAGGACAACCCACCACCGTCGAACGCACCGTCATCCAGGATCCTCTGAAGGTCTACGCCCGCATGACCGCGCTCAACGGACAGCTGGAATTCGAGTATCAACCGGAGGCAAGTTTCTGCGCTCTCTTCGAAGGTTGTGATTGGCTGAGTGCATTAATTTAAACAAGGCGGTGATTGTTTAAGAAGTGGCTTGAGCACAAGGTGCTAGTGGTTGTAAACTGCTCCATAACCAATGAAAAAACAGCCAGGCACTGCCACCTACTCGTTGTAAAACCGCCAACCGATTCTTGAAATTGCAGACCCTTCCACCGAGAACACCGGTGCCTGGGGGTGATTTGGGCGCCGAGTACAACACAATTTGGATGAAGGAGAGCGAGTGGGTGCTGACTCGGATCCACTCGCAGACCCTTCGAGTTCGACCGAGTCGCTCAGAGCTCATGCTGGCACTCACCAACATCACCTCCTTCTCCGTCCGACTCGCCATGCCTGGGACTCCACTGAAAGCCATCAGGTGAGTGCCTCGGCGCCCATTCCTATTGGTCCGCTTAGGACTTAACCTTGAGATCGAGCCCTCATTGGCGCAGCCGACATTTGACAGCTTGATGGGGAAACAGAGCATCCAGTGATGAATAAGTGAATTATGGCTTGAGTGAGAGTTGATGGAAGGATCGATTTGCCTCTGGTATTTAGAGTTTATCAACACTCAAAATTAATTTATTGCCGTGACCTTGAACGTCCAATGAAAATGAGCCAACCAAGTATTGCATAATGACTGACGTGTCAAGACAGTATTGACAGCGGCATCTGGGTCACTGGTTAATAGCACGATAGTTGGTGGAACCGATCTACTTATGGAACTTGTAAGTAGTAGCTAAAAAATAAATAATATTTTAGACCGTGAACTTCTCCTTATTTAGTGTGAACTACCGAACGAGGACCGCAAGGAGCGAGGCCCTAACGCAGATGGGAACTCCAATCACTACCATTGAGACCTGCATTTGCCCGGACTCTGCCAAGGGTGACCATTGTGAGGTGGGTCAACACTAATACTCCTGCTTCTACAATATACTTACTACTTAATTTAAAAAAGTAACCAATCGCATTTCTTGATTCTTTGTTTTTTCATAAGCTTGCCGATGATCTCCACTACTTCCCGCCCGTGGAAGTCACGCCGAGCCCTGACGGGACCTACTTCGACAGTCTCGTGGACATTTACCATCCATCCAACAATGGCAGCATACCTGCAGGCGGAAGTGAGCATACAATTCCTACTAAAACGAAATAAGTAACAAGTATTTCTTCAACTCTAATTTGCGTATTTTTCAGAGACTAGCTTCAATTTCGAAGGTGGCGTCAGAACCTGTGAATGCAATGGCATGTCGAGGGAATGCGATCATCAGACTGGCTACTGTTTGAATTGCGTGGGCAACACTGCTGGCGCGCATTGTGAGGTCTGTGCACAGGGCTACAGCGGTGACCCCACGAAGGGGGTTCCTTGCACCGTGTGCCGCTGCCCCAGTGAATCGGCAAAGTGAGTTTCTTGCTCGTGATTGGTTTAGCACGCATTCTACTTATAAATATTCAGTCGAACATATTTTAATTTTTTGATCCATCTCTGGCGGGATTAATCTATGCGGAATCATGCGGATAATTAGTTTACGACGCTGTTTTGTGTCAAGGACACGTGTTCACTCATCGCACATATTGATTTGCTTCCAGTTACGCCAAAACCTGTCACCCCTACGGCCCCCTCGGTAGTTATGTCTGCGAGTGTCTTCAGGGGTACGCGGGGGCACTGTGTGACCGCTGCGACACCGGTTACTATGGCGACCCACTGATGATGGTGCCATGTCGACCCTGCGATTGCGACCTGTCAGGCTCTCAACACCAAAACTGCAACATGAAGACCGGCCAGTGCGTCTGTCTGCCGGGCATCACCGGGCGCCGATGCGATCAATGCCAAGAGGGCCACGTGGTCGACGCTGGTCGGTGTATCGGTGAGTTGCGTTCTCACTTGTCGCTCCTCTTATGGGGCTCGAACCCCGACCCAAATCATCGAGTATATCACGACTCCACCAGGCGCAAAGTATGACGTGGGTGAATGGCTATAGAGACTGACCAATGAGGTAACACTCTGTGTGTGAACCAATGAACGGTTAGTGGACACTAGCAGAAGCCAATTGCCTTCACAGAAACCCGCAGTGCACTTTCATTGGTAACTTCGTGTCACAACAAGTGCTTTCCACACCTAGACTGTCGTGGTGAGTGCACAGGAGAGTTGTTGGAGAGGACGGCAGCTGTCAGCAGCGACATCGACTCCATCGACCTCACCGAATTAGCTCATCGTGGTCTGCGCGGTCTCCAGAAACAAGCCGAAGGTCTGAAGGATCGGTATTCCCTGCGAGGCACGATCCCGCCGGAACGCGATCTGATCGATCGAGCCGCCAAACTGACGGCCGATTTGTCTCGCATTTCACTGTCGGCCATCACGACCCTACCACAGACGGTCAGCGCGATCGACAACGCCAGCTGTGCCAACACCAACGCCACGATTCGGTTGTCGCGCGAGGTTGTCGGTTTGGAGAGACGACTCAGCGAGTGGATCGGTTCAATGCGGAGCCTTCATCTGGGTTCGGTGGACGAGCAGCTTATCCAACAGTGGCACCAACGCGCGCGTCTAATTCGTCAGGAGATCTCGCGTCTCGACCTCCAGCCGACCTCGGAGTGGGCAAGAGAACTCCTAGACGGGAGTCGCAATTTGGAGGAGCAGTTGGAGGCAATTCAACGCAGGGCCTCAGAGGCCGACTACGACGCGCAGATCAGGCGTCTGAAGCACTACCAGAGAGAACAGCGGGCTCTGTTGGATGCTCAGAAAGAACAGCTTTATAAAATGGCCAACCAAACTCAACGTGGTCTAGTAAGATCCATAGTCCTCCCTTTATTTTCAACATAGAATCGAATCCTTATGGCAGATTCAAAAAGCGAGTGACATTTAGTAAGACGGCAGGCTTGGTTCCTCCATATACCCTCCCAGGTACCGATAGATTGCGACATATTTGAACTACTACTTAATCATTGTCAGTAGAATATTTTATTCCAAAAGCGAATATGTAATTTAGGAGCAGTATTTATTATATTTACACGTTTCAGGCCACATAAGGACGTTTAGATTCTCAAGGCCGTGATGAGGCACTTTATTTAATATCACGTAACGGCGAAGGGAATGTTGCGATCAAGGATGTTTGTCTGAAGAGTTTAGATCAACTCAGGCCGATTCAAGCGAAATTTTTATTGGTTTGCTTAATTATTTTTAAATAGAATTCGATAAAGAGCATAGAGGACGTCATGGACACGGCGTCAGGCAGTGCAATCGACACGCTGCGACTAAATCAGAGCCTTTTCGAGGATTCCTTGCAGAACCTTCAACAGAATACCACGGACTATCAGGAGCCAACCATGGGTGAGCTTAATCGGATCGCCAACCTCCTGGAACAGTCACAGAGCTTCGATCAGGTAGGGTACTGTTGAATGCAATTGAAGTTCGTTTTAACCCAATGCATTGCAGCAGCTAATCAAAAAAACATTACTACTGACTTTTTGTTAGTAGTAGTTGTTGTAGTTGCAGGAACTGTATTAACGGAGACATTAACAATTTTCTACTACCGCATTGCTTGAAAATGTCCTTTAGGTGCCGAGTGTAGTTCCAGCAGATGTCATCACCGTGGTCCACAATCTGGATCGCACAAAGGAGTCAATCGTGGCGGCACTTGACCGTCCTGGGGTTGATCGAACGCTGGAGGGCCGAGAGGCCTACAAAGCGATTGCGGACACAATCTGGGAGGCCAGGAACTTCACTGACGAAGCCATGCAGGCTGTGGAAGACATTGGAGACGGTAGCACTTCGGCGTCTCTCGAAGCGTCGCTTGCTGACGTTGAGAAACGGCACTCGGAATTGGCGGTGGGTTACCGATGCCTTCAGAGATCTCGGTTCTCCATGGAGACAGATTTTATTGATTTTTTTTTCTAAGTAGGCTCGAGTTGCGAAGTTGGGGGAACGGCTAGAGGATGAAGAGCTGATTTCCGAGGCGAATCACGACCGATTGTTGGATTTGAAGAGCGCCTTCCGGGACATTAACGTGGTGCTAGAACGCACGCTGAAGTCATCGGCGTTGACAAAGGACCATGTCTCGAACCTGGGTCCACTGGTGGCGTCGACGCGACCCGAACTCGAAGCACTTGCAGGTGAAATCGCTGAGGCGCGGAAACGCTTTGACTCCGTTGAAAAGGCGGTTCGTGGCATTGAGAAACAGTTCAACGAAATTGAAGGCACTGCCAACCTGGCAGGTGAGCAGATAGACCTTGTTTTACATGCCATGGCAAGGTTGGCTGCATTGTGGTTGAAATGTCTTTGTTCTGAAGGGGCTTGAAGTCGCTTGTCTTAAATAAGGTCAAAATTGACTCACAGGTCGTCACCTGAATGCTCCGTGATTCTGGAACCATAGAGTCGATGTTGGGTACCAGCAGATAGAACTCGAAAGCAGGATTTGGCGTTTTCGTTTTGAAAATGATTGCAAGATTTGGTGACTTGGACTCTATTGCTTGCTCGTCCACCAATCCCAGTTACGATGAATCACTGGGATTGGTGGACGAGCAAGTAACTATCAATTAAATTGCACACCTACAGTTCGAATTAGCCTCTAAACTCATACGCCGCCACTGAAGGTCGATTACTCAAGTCATGAACCCTCTTGATGTGTTATTAGGAGTTCAGATGATTGTCTCTCTCTCAAAGCATTTTCACAAGTAATCAATAAGCAATCGATATTGATTATATGATTGAAATCAAGAGACCAATGGCGAATTCGCGTAAATCAGAGTCAATTCAAGAACACTCCCAATTATAGGGGCGATGTTTTTTTCGAAATTAGCACGACCTCATGCCGTCATCATTATCACCATCATTGACATCATTGTTATAGGTGACAGTTTCTGAGATTCTAGTGGCTTTTCAGCTTTCCTCGTGATGAGACTCAATCTTGTTCCGCCATTTATTGACAGAAAACATCTGATTGGACAGTCTGGGGGCTCAGTAAGAGCCTGGAGTACATAACACCGCTGTGATAAAATCAAATTATCAGCAATTCCAGAATCGTTGTGATTAGTACGAGTTCAATACACTACTTTCCATCTATTGGCCAGCTTAAGGTCATTTACGTGTTCAGCCAATCACCGTAACCGTTGATTCTGGGGAGTTGGTAATTCTCTCGCACTTTACTGCAGACACATGCAGCATTTAAAGTGCGCAGACCTGTAATGGCATTGCTGTTGACTTACTGGGCGTTCTATTTTACAGTCGACCAGGCGAATTCAACGCAACGAAGCCTTCTGGACGCCATCGCGGCTGCAGAACGACGCTCCGCCGAGGTGGACAAGAAGATGGCCTCCGTCAGCCGGCTGGCGTCGCTGGCGCGTTCTCTTCTCGACCTCATCTACGCCAGTCTGGGCAAAGATCCCATCCCCCTGCGTCTCACCGGGGACGACTGCGTCTACACCCTCGTCCCCTACCACGTGACCAAGTCGCGCGTCTTCGACCTTGAGTTCTGGTTCACAGCTGCTCTGCAACGCGCTCAGGGCGGATCTAGCTCGCAGAAGATCCGGACAAACTCCGTGTTGCTCGTGGGGAGACGCGCGTTCCCGGGACGAACGATGATGTTCGCGGTCACTGTTGAGCCCTCGGGTAACCTACGCTTCTCGTGGTCTCAGCCAGACGTGGTTGGTGGAGAATTGGGTCTTGAAATCGGCCCTCTTAACGGCACCTTCACCAATCGGGTAAATTGAGTACAATTCCTTGGGACTAATTTACATCGCTACTGAAAACAATTAGGTAAAACGCTACTTTTACGTTTTGTTTTTGCAGATTCGAGTAACTTCCGTTCCTGGTCGGGTGGACTTGTACCTACAGCAAGTTCCAGAGGGCGCAGAGTCACTAGTGGGTTTGCCAATCCAGTCAGTGACCTTCACAGACGACCAATCGGACTCCTCCATCAGCAGCCTGCTAATCGATAATCAGCTGGAAGTGCGAGTGGGTGGGCCTTTCCATGACCCGCATTCGGCCGACTCTAACGCCCCGCTGATGGAGAGTTGGGGCGATGGTGGCGCGGAGGAGATGTGGTCCCGACTGCAGAAAATGGACCACGCCAAGGGCTGCCTCTACGACCTCAAACTCTCCGGCCATCGTCTCGGATTTCCGGATTTCGCAAAGGCTGACCGCGCGTGCACTCAGCAGACTGAGGACTTCTGTAAAATGTAAGACATTGGCCTATTCAACTCAGCATCTGATTGGCGCAATTCTCGTCTGGTTGCCTTCTCTGATTGGCTGATAATGCAATGACACTAACATGGTGGTGTGCTTTCAAAATTACGTTATTAGCAAGAAAGAAAGGATTAAACGGTGCAGTTAGTCTCTGTTGGTGTTACAATAGCGCAAGGACACTTCAGCTTAAATGGAAATTTAAACCCATATCGTAAGATATAACGCCTACTTAAACTAATGAGTAGACAGAATATAAACAATAGGATGACGTCAGATTAAACTCCAACACCTCCTAGTCACACCAACTTCCGGCCGCTAATTCGAGACGGCTACATCTGGGAGAAGTCGAGTGCTCTTGACGCGGGACTCGAACCGAACCCTCGGCCTAAAACCGAGGATCAGCGCGAACCCTTCCTGGAGTACATGCAACTCCACGACTTCGCCGCTGACGACTCCTATTCGCGCATCACAAACTACGAGAGTCTGTCGCCGTGTGACAAGACCATCGACATCCACCTTCAAAAGTTGGCGCCCTACAAGGCTAACAGCATGGTTCTCACCTTCTACAACTACCGCGAGGTACGTAGAGCCAAATAATGTTATTTCCCTCGTGAATTTGTAATGCGTCATTTCGATTCCTTCAGGATTACGGCATTACTGTGGAGAGCAAGGGACACGACCTTGTGTGCAGCCGATGGCATGGTAACCTCATGAGTGGTCGCGGTGGTGGTGCTGGCAGCAGCCGCCAACGTGGTCTGAGGCAGATTCGCGTTTCGCCAATTTCTCTGAACTACTGGACGCTTGAGGAAAGACTAGCAGAAGACTGCGCTATCGCCAAAGACGACGACTACGTCTTCTTTGTTGGTGGCATTCCGCCGGGGCATTACGAGCTCAGAAGAGCGATGAAGGAGTAAGTCGATTTGAGTTCTTCGATGTTTAATAATACTTATTACTCACTTTAGCAAGTAGTTAGAATTTCTGTTTCAAAATCAGTTGCGTAATTGAATCACAATAACTCCGTCTAGATATGGCCTTTCGACCAATGGCTTCCGTGGACGCATTGGTCTGGCCACATCCGGCATCCACGTTCCTGGGTCTCTTCTGATCGATTCCTACACAAAGGCACCAATTCGCAACTACGGCGACACTCTCTTCTCTGATATGCGACAGACGGAAGAAGCCTACACCATTGTACGTTAGTCACTTGACGGCAATGACAAACCACCTCAAGTCTGTCCACAATCAGCGATAATTTGTTTTAACCAATAGGCGCAGACCGCCCCAGACAATCAATACTGCCTTACGCTCATCCCATTGGCTAATTCGACGAGCTTCGAATTGAAGCCGAGGCAATTCGCTGCGCCCTGGGTGCCTGAGATTGGCATGACAGTCCGATTCCGACCGGTTGGAAACGATGAAGTAAACCTCCTCCGAATGCAGGTTGCCGAGGTAAGTCCACGTCGGCGCTTTCTACATCCATGTTTAGGCTTTGCCTGTATCAATAATCGATAATCAATAATTTGCCAGGATCTCGTATAATCCTAGTTAAACACTAGCGAATCACTGCAAATGATTGATTTGGACCTGAGCAATCGACATGCTCAGAGCGCAAAATCGGTTGAATTTACTGGCTTTTTTGCTTTCTAGAACAATCTCTGGTTCCGGGTGTGGTTGACGTCTGACTTGCGCGTTGGAATCGCCATTCCAAGCGATCCCACCAAGTTCATAACCAGAGAAATCTTTGGCACCCACGTCATCCGCGATCCGACCAATAATTTGGCTGCAATTAAAGCCCGCGAAGCTCAAATCTTCGATCAGCCACTCTTCACGGAGTCTGTTCTCACGATCCAGTTTGGTGACGCGAAGTCAAAGAGGTAAGAAGCTTGCAGTCCAACTGATCTTGGAAGCCTTGCATTATCTTGGTGGAAGCTAATTCGCTTTTGATTGACCGATTCTGACCGTTTAGAACTGGTCGCTTACTTATCCCACGTTCATTGGTGGAAATGAGTGAGCATCTTGATTGGCCAATCGATAAGAGGAACGGGTTGGTCATTGGTCGTTTTAAGCTGCAACCATTAATAAAATAAAACGTTTAACTATCCTAATAATGTTATCACATTTGATTGTTAGGAGACTAAAGTTGATATCAAAAATCGACGGACTTTATCTAAAAGGTTTAATGAAAATGACGGTTCTTTATCACTTTCCTGACATTGATCTTGTACAATGCTTCTGTTGACTGTCTGATTCACGCCACTTCTTATTGAAACTAACCTTCATCACAAAACGCAACTTTCCGTCTGTTGGACAGCTCAAGGTCATTCACATGTTCAGCCAATCACCGTGACCTTTGAGTTAGTAATTCATTCACACGATGAATCCTTACGGGAATTAATTGGCGATTAAATGCACGCAAGATAAAACCTTCGCGCCAATCAAATTTTCGTAATTTTTTAAGGTTAACTGTGCTGTTCGACCAACGCCCGGTACAGACATGGACCCTGAGCCAACCCATTCCGAAATCGGCAGTTCTGCAGGTTCATGTCGGGCCTGAACTAAACTCACCCACCTATCACGAGTTCTCTATCAGCAACTTGGTCATAGGAAAGCAGTGAGTTACAGTCCAGTCTATTATCTGATTCGTACTGTATGCTAGCACTTCAAAAAATGAGTTTTTTATGCTCTAATTTGCCGCAGTCGCGTTGATTTCGCCGCCGACATGGTCGACACTCTGCGTAACAAGCGTTTCTATCGAATCGGCGAATGTGGCGGTCAGTTGAGGCCTCGATTTGTCGCGTCGCCTGACGAAGCGCACGAGACTCCACTGGGTGATTTTGTGTACCAAGGTCTCGACTTACCAGCGCCACCGACTGGACGCCGTCTACGCTCCATTTTCGAGGACTGCGGTGATGTCAATCCTCAGGTTAGACTTTCTACTATATTCTTATAAGTAGTTAATCATTTTCACATATTTTTGAAACATTATGCGGTTGAAGTAGCAATAGCACTGCAGAGCACACTTATAATTTCACAACCGATTCTCGCCTGTCCATATTATCTGGGCTGCCTTCGAGATCACGTGGCAGTGTGTTCATTTAAATGTCTACTGAATTGAGATAAGTAGAATGAATTTTACCTCGACAGCGGAATCATTCATGATAATCAGTCAGTTTTGTTAAGTAAATTTAAGATCCTTTATTGAATACAACTTCAATTCTTGATCACCATAGCATCAATAGAATGTTGATATTTGATTTATTTGAATTTTTGCCCGTATTCAGGTGTGCGACGCGATCAGCGAAAACGTGACCAAAGAGTGGCCCAGCATCATCCACTCACTTCTTTCACCGAAGCCCTCTAAGCGAGTGCGTGTGCGCAGTCTGCACCTTGCCGGAAACGGAAAAAGCACAAAGGTGTGTCTACTTAAATGCGTCTCAGTAGGCATATTTTCTTTCCATGTCCACACAGTTAACTCTGGTTGTAGAATTGTCTCGATGGGGATAAATCCTCTGCCTGGTTCAACGGCGAAGCCTACTGGGAGGTGTCAGACATTGCGCGTGTGCTTAATCGGAATAAGTAAGTTCACTTTAGTGCCAATTTCGTTTGCCAACATTATCGATTGGTTTTCAGCCAATAATTTAGGTCGTCAGTTTATTTTAAATTCCATTGGTCGACGGTGTTAGTCGAATCTTGACAATAGCTTAGAGCAACTGCATTTCGTCAAAACAAAGTGTCGAAATATAATCAGAAATTCAATACACTAATTTTTTGTGATATATTTCAACAGGGAATGCCTTTTTAACGAATCCTGTTTAATTTCGATTTTAAGTTATGTAAATCGATTTTGGTTAAAAGTAAGATTCGCTCAGTACGTCGTGTTTAACCGTTGTTTAAATGCAGTGACTTCCGGGTGACAATTGGCTTCCGGACGCGTCCCCAAAACGACACATCAAACTCCGTCGGCGTCCTGGGTGCTTTTAACTTCGGCTTCAAATCTGGCACGCTCTTCGTCCTGCTGAGTGAACGCCAGGTTCATCTGGTCCACGAGGCAGGTGCAAACGGAAACACCGACTTTGTTTGGTCAAGCCCTCACCTTGATCTCCATGGCAACGCTTGGCACCGCCTTGAACTGCTGCCCGTCAACATGCAGTCAAATGAAGTAGGCGGGGAGATGAAAGTTTCTAGAATGCGAGTAAGCTGTCCACCTACGTACAAACCCTAGCGCCTTTTTTTTGCATTATCTCAAATGCAACGTTTCGATTCGTCCATCCATAGTTTATTCTGGATTACCACGAAGTCTGGATAGAGGAACCAATGACGTGGCGAGTTCCTGTCAGTGTTTTCATTGGTGGACACCCCAGCACACGTTCCATCAAAATTGGCTCAAAGAGGGTAAGAAAAAACTGTTTTAATTGACCTGCAAAGGATCAGTGTGTACTTCCTATTGAGCCTTTCATCTAACCAATCAAATCACGCCCCCTGTTGTCCACACAGATGACCTTGAACAAGCTCTTTGGCTGTGTCGATGAGTTGACACTGGGCGGGCATGAATTTGACCTCGCCAAATCCCGCCTGCCAGTCTGTCCAACCTGCTTCACGCTCAACTCGAAGGCGATCCACGTGCTGCCCAAGATCCAGGATCTGATCCAACCTAAACGAGGGCTCGTCTTGCCGCTGAAACGTGAGTCATCATTCTGTGGTGTACTGCCAACTCATTTTCACGCTATTGGTCAATTGCCGTGTCCAATCATTTCAGTGAATATCGCAACTCCACGACCCCAGCGAATGGGAACAGTTGAGTTCTCCTTTGAGGTACTCTACGATTCTCAGAAGATCGGCGTTGAGAGTCTCTTTGTGATGGTGTTTGAAAGCAGCGACAGTGAGGATCTCGTGCACCTTTGGATCTACCTCGACCGCTACATGGTGAGCCCACAAAGCACCGCCTACTTAAATTATATTAGTAGAAAGTGTGTGACGGAGTCGCGCGTATTTTAGCTCTTTGTGACTCACTTGACGACGGAGGAGAAGGTGAGCTTCAGTTCAAGCGCGTCTGAGCCAAGCGCCTGGCATTACGCCTCGGTGAAAGTGTTCCTCCAGGACATCGCGTCAGTCATCGAAATAAGTACTCAGAGCGAATCGTCCCAGACGGTCATACTCAAATCCCTGGGCCGACTAAGGGCCATCTACTACGGTTCCGACGAAGGTGAGTTCCACGTAGCCTGGGACAACGTGCCCCCTTTCTGATTGGCCACTGTCTCAATCCCTCTCACCCCCCCTTTCGCTTTTCTATAGCTATCTCGCCAGAAGTTCAATCGGAGCATCATGGAGGAACCGTTGTACCTCCGTTCATGGGCTGCCTCAAAAACCTCCAATTATCGATAGATGAGGGTGCGCGGTTGCCGGTTGAATTCCCCGAGTCTACGCAACACCTCGTACACGGTGTCTGCCCACTGTGATTCTACGCAAACCAATCGTTTTCCTTGTGATTTCATCCTACACCCAATTTCCTCCTACCTGCTCAATCACACACACCGCCTCGAATTTGTATTCATCAAGCACTGGTTTTATGTATCATTGACGGCGTTGTTATATAGCAGGTTTTTCTAAATCAATTTGCCGAGTTGTAATCGATAAACCTCGATTTGAGTAACCAATCAACACCGCGTCTGTCCGACCCCAGCTAGACACTGCAAATGAACAATTTATGACCGTATAAAGACTGGGTTTTTTCGAATGACAGGCTTGAAAACGACTTTGTTGGTACACACTGCATGTTGAGTTGTCCAACGTCGCTCTAATTAAGTGCAGTAACACGCACAGGAGACGTATAAGTGAGTTTCCAGTAAATTACTTTTCGGATTGTTTCATGAATTTTGGAAAAACTGATACGACAAAAACAAACTATTTCAACGATGAGTCGGATTTTGTCTTGAACGAAATGCAAGCGTTCTCTAACGGGAGTTGTGCGCTTCCAGTTCGCAACCCCACGAAGCCCATTGCCGAAACACGACGTGTGCCAATTTCATCCTAGTTTTAAAACACATTTTGGCATCCTTTCTAACATGAAGTGCAAAAGGGTTCATTTTCCACACATCTACTCTTATTTCTCAAACGGCTTAAGCTCACGGCGGGATTCGTGAATTTTAGGGTGCTGATTGCTGAAGGCGCAACATGGTTTCCGAAATTGCAGCATAGCTGACGGTGGCCAAAAGGATGGATGTATCGGCGTAATCTAGCCCCCCCCTTGAGCTTCATGAACACGTTCGCACGCGGTAAAAGGAGTTATGGTTGCAGGTTAATCAGACTGCCAGTTGCTTAATAACACGCACACCTCACGCCACGCTTCGTTCATTTGCTGAGAAGAGCCTGATAGATGCTAGGAACGCTGAACCGAAACGGCCGCAAGAGACGAGCAAAAAGAGCTAATTTATTCCAGAACAGAACTCCAGACTAAAGGCACTTCCAGTCTCTCTTTCACACCTTGAATCGTGTTCCGATTGACAAACGTGAGCTTTTCATGACCGACCACGGTGATGGCAATGTCTGTTCGAAAAGTTACTGCCATTTGCAGGCTAGGAATTGTCGTGATTAAACTTAGACAGACAACCAGCCTAAAAATGCTAAACCACAGAATGCTGCTCTCGTTACTGCGCTACCCTGACTCCCCGGTTCTGGAAAACCTTTTCCGAAACCAAAGTCTGCGGTCTTCCGTCAGCTTAATCAGTACAAGAAAGGGGAAATTGGTGTACAAACACCAAACCACATGACTTAAAAATTCAGGATGCCGGATAAAAATGTCCCGACAATTTTGCATTTGTAGTCCACCAACCTCAATGGGGCAAGCAGGGTTCGGAAGGCTGTCAAACCAGGTGTTGGACAAAAAATTAGAGGAAAAATCATCACGGCCTCCCTCACTAACATATTTCCGATATAACAACAATCAGGCAGACTTTTTCGGTAGTCATCAATTTTTAACCAATTGGATAGTCAAACTAAGTTAGGCATATTTCCCTGAGCAAGACAGCCGAAGTGATTACTCAAACCTAATAAACAACAATTAAATTACGAAAGCTTGCGGAAGACGGAAAAACTAAATCTGATGCACTTACATCATTGGAAATGAGAATTCACGTTATATTCGGATATGGAAATTTACCGTCATTGGGACAAGTCGATAAATTGAAAAAAAGTGACCAAAGGACCACATTAAGTAAAACAAATCAGCCAGTTTCAAAATTAGCTTGTTAAACACTGGGACTGAAGAAAATGCCTCAGGACACGCTACTTGCACCAACTAGCAAAACTGAAATATGATAGCCCTGCAAAACTACGCGTGCTTACTTAAACCAAAGACGAGCCAACGCAAGTAAGAAACATACCAGAAAGCCATGTTATTTAATAATGATTTAGCTAGCACAATGCATGAATTGCCAAACGTGAATACGGCTGTCGGTGTAGCCAGCGAAGAGGGTAGATCCGTCCGCAGACCAAGCCAGGCACGTGCACACTGGGGGCTTGGGACGCTTTTTGGACTCGCTGGTAACAGCGGGCTCGACCCTGAGATCCTCGACAAGAACTTTATCCTCGAGATTCCAGATCTTGATTGAGGGGCCGGCGGCTGCGCAGAGCCAGTACCGCGTCGGGGAGAAGCAAAGCGCGTTGATTTCAGCTCCGCTTGGCAGAGTGTACAAGTACTTGCGTGCAGCGAGGTCCCAGAGCATGGCCTGTTCGTCCTTGCCACCGCTGGCGCACAGAGTACCGTCAGGGGAAATAGTGAC